AAGTTGTCAAAATTGTAAAGCATACAACGTTATTGATTGATTTTTTTGTCGTAAAATATGAATCTTATTAGTTGCAACACGAATTGCATCATGTTCTCTATACATAGATCGAAACTCTGCCAAAAAGGCCTCTAGATTATCCAATATTGGATCTCGTCATTCAAGAAAAGATGAAAACCATGATAATGTTAAATCTCAAAGAAGCGTACCAATGAATCTAACTTGCGATCGTGGAGTTGGATAGCTTTGGGATTGAAATTCAATCACAAGTTGTACTTGATTGATAAATCTTCTAAACTTTGAACTGGTGCCATCAAACTTCTCAGGTATGGCAATTTTAGGTTCTCTAACACTGGAAGGGTATTCCACCATAGGAGAAGGGACAAGATTTGGTGTAGATGTTGAAGTAGCTCCAATCATTTCTATATCTTCACTTCGTACTAATCTTGTTGCTCCTTGTGGTGGTAAATTGAGTTGATGCATTGCAAGCATTAACTCCCTCAATTGCTCTTGCATTTGTGCCATTACACTCTTCATTTCAGTAAGTTTTGCCATGATAATACTTAGAAAAGAGAAGATGTCTAATATCACTCAAGACAAATAGAAGAGAGGACTTGAGAACAAAGAAAATACTAAGGACAATATCAATTTAGAAGAGGGTAATCCGCAACTTCTAATATGCTTCTGTCTTATCAAGAAAATGGGATAATCCATTCTTAATCAAGATTAGACAAAGCTCTGATATTGTAAGTATACTCTTGTTAATCTGTCAAGGACAAGAACATGATAAAGACAAATAAACAAGTGAGACTTCTCTCAAAGAAAGATGAAAAAATAGAAATAACTTCATATGTATATTAAGAAAGAAACTGGAATGGCTATTGCCAAAAGACAAATAAACTAAAGACCTTTGAAACTAGACTGGAAGCAAGAAATGAGTTGACAAGAGTGAAGAAAGCTTCACTCTTGTCTTTATATATATTATCTAACTAGGGGCAATGTGGCGACGTTCTATAGGACCTCTAATATGTGTTGACTTTGTAAGACACACGCCTTGACTTACAAGGCAAGTTTTTCTAAGTGTGGGCCACATAGTTAGCTTGGTCTTCAAGCTAACAACATGTGTGGCACATAGTCAACTTGTTAACCATGTTTCTAATCCCAAAAAGTCAATTAAAGATACCTATAAAGTCAAAGCAATATCTATAAAGCTTCTATAAAGCTTCCATACCAAATAGTATAGAATTAACTTACTTTTACCTATTTTTACTTACTTCTACCTATTTATATATGTAATTACTGGCTTACATACGTATGTCCTTAATAATACCTCGTCTTCTTCGACAACCATGCTTCTCATTTTGTGATTGCGTTGTTTTTTTGGACAATGTTGAGCAGTATATTTTAGCTTCTCCACAATATAAGCATAAGCCCTCTTGACATTATCAAGTCTTTTCCTACTTTATGAAGGATTTAAATTGTATCGTATCAATTTGCATTAGTTTTGACCTCAATGAATAAGTTTTTGAAAACTTCGAAACTATTGTTATTATTTGATTTATTCTTCTCTAGTCAAATCTTTATTCTTGATATCTTTCAAATAATCAATTATCACATGCAATGGCTTGAGCAATAAATTATTCTAAAGATTCTCCTTTTGGCATTGTTAATAACAAATCTTAGACATTTTCCTTCAATCCATATCAAAATTGATTAATAAAGAGTTTGTCATTCCAATCCACATCACAAACAAAGTTTTTAAATTTAGTAATATATATAGTGGCTGACAGTGATCCTTGCCATAAAGATAAAAGTTTGATCTCTATTACACTTTCTTGATCACTTTTTCTGAATGTGATTGTAAACACCTCTAAGAATGAATTTAAATTATAAAAGAGTCGCAAATCCTTTTCTATTAAAGGTGCAAACTAAGAGAGAGCAATTTTTGATAGAAGTGTGTCTATGAATTCGACTTGAGTAAATCCATCAAGGTATTAGAAAGGATGCAATCTTAGATAGAGCTTGACTTATTGCCAAAGTCCTCAAAATTTTGATCTTGTTCCATCAAACTTTTCAAGCATACTAATCCTTGTCCTTATTGTACTTATAGAAGTAAAACTGCCTAGATTTGGTTGTAAGGTCGATCTACTTGATTCCTTCAATTGCACAACTTTTTGTTGTAGGTTTTGAACTTCTTCCATTGACATAGGCATAGTACTTCCATGATTCAAGTTGGAAATACATAAGATTTTTATTCTAAGAGTGTTGACAAGTTCATGAAAATCTACAATAGTTGCAAATCTATTCTCACTTCCGATAAGAGTAGCATCCATTATCATTTCTTCCATAGATAATTCAAATAAATTTAAAAAGTTAAATAAGAAGAAGGTAATTTGCAACTTTTAATGAAAATTTTCATAAAGAAGAATACTCCACTTTCTTTAAGGAAAATATCAGTGTTAAAAAATAAGATTTTTTATTTAAAGGTAGATAGTCCATAATCTTTAAAATATAAAAATAGAAGTAAAATAATCCATTTATTTCTAAAATAAGAAAAAAAACAATAAGTTAGCATTCTTATCAAATTGTGAAAGACATGAATCTCGAAAAAAGAAAATTCTCAATACAATCTTATCTTACTGAAAGGAAGTAGAAGGATAGTCAAAGATGATATAATATTGAATTAGAATGGCTATTGTCAAAAATTAGAAGACTAAAAAATCTTGAAATCAGACTAAAGACAAAAAAAGTGTTGACAAGAGACAAGAAGGCTTGATTCTTATCTCTATATATACACTTAACTAAGAGCTACATAGCGTTGTCCCATATGACTTCCAAAATATATTGACTTTATTAGACACATATCTTAACTCATAAGGCAAGTTTTCTTTATGTGTGCCACAAAGTTCGCTTCTTCCGCAAGCTACTAATGATGTAGTTAACTTGTTGACCAAGTTGTTAACCTACTAATCAACTACAAATACATGTAAAGTCAAAGCAACTTTTATGAAGCTTTTAGGAAGCTTCTTTAGAAAGTATTATAAACCTACTTTTATTTACTATTATTTGCTTTTACCTAATCATATAGGTAATTACTAGAATACTTATATATATCTATGAAAATATATATATATATATATATATATATATATATACATACATATACAAATAGTTAGATAGAGAAAGAGAAAATTATTAATGCTACATCCTCAATTGATATTGCTACATTCCATGTGACCTTCTTGTTGTCAATTAACCAATAATATGCCTCTTTTTTTTGTACATTTTTTTCCTTTCTTTGCTTTGAAAAAGGGTGGTGGTTGAGAAGGAAACAATAATTATTTTATAAAAAAACAAGTTGCCAGCTGTTTTCTAAAAAATTATAATAATTGCCTGAAAAATTATCTAATTCAAAATTTTCTTTATTTGTTTGTTTATATTATATTATATTTTCTTTATTTTATAAAACACAACTCGGCCTCACCTCACTGCACATCTTCATCTTCGTTTTCATCTGCAACAACGCCGTGCAGTGCAGGGAATGAGCTCACATGGGGCCCTCCTTTCTCCCACTCTTCCACTCTCTCTCTCTGTTTGTTTGTTTTCCATCGAGTCGAGTCCAGTCCAGTATAGTCTAGGGCTGGGATCGTGATTGAGCACCCTTGCAGCTTGCACCTACCCCCGCTCAGCAGACAGATAGCACACTGTCGCAATCCATCACCAATGCGCGCATCGAAATCCGCACTGTGCTTTCCGGGATCCGATGTGTTACCAACTTGGCACCGGAGTCAAGGCGGTCATAAATCGCAACCCAAGCCTTGGGAAGAGAGTGATGCTTGGCATTCAATGACCCCATTTCTGAGCCGACATGGTAACCGACCACTGTGAATTTTAGTGCCCAGGTGAGCCCCTCCTTCTAAAAGCGTGAGACAATCAAATGTGGAAATGGAACTAAATAATCGATTTCGTCCGAACTGGTTCTTGGCTTTGCCTTCGAAGCTGCCCACAGTGATTTCGGAGGAATCGAAGCTCCTCGCTGGTGTTGCAATCTGTCGCCCACCAGGTTAGAGAGATGTAGACACTCCTATCTCTCAAAGCTTCGAACAATCGCAGCCGAAATGGACAGGAAACTGTACCGAAATTCTTACGGAAGGCACATGCGACTGTGTTACCGTTCCGTGGGGTAAGTGCAATCGGCGCTAAACAAGACAGCGACGCCGTCGTTTCACGTCGCGCCTTGCCCTTGTCATCAATCTCTTGTGGTCAAACAGATCAGTTTCCACTGCAGATAGCCTCCTCCTCGTCTTCTCGTGTCTCAACCACTGAGAGACAAAAAAGAGGCAAAAGGTGGAGATGCAACCTAGACTACATCACTAAAGTGGACGAATCCAAGCAGAAGCCTCTTCTGAACTCAGGGTTGGTTGGCACGTGAAAGTTCCCAAAGGCAGCATCCCAGTATTACGTACCCTAACCCATCAAATCTTTCTCTCTCTCTCTCTCGCTCATCATTCAAGCAAAATATCACTAAAGCGAGCAAACTCAATTCCCCGATTCTCGTATCTTATCAACTAGCCAGATAAGTTCTGATTCGAGAATATGAGCAGGCATCGCGGAAACAGTCCAGAAGCAATCCTCACACCACAGCAGCAAATCGACGTTGAATAGTACGGTCACCGACGACAGTAATACGGGTCAAAAGCCAATCCCAGGCCACACACACTTCCAGTTCGGGGAAGGTCACAGTAACAGAGCTGTTAAATTTATCAATAGAAACACGCACGCACGCACGCACACACAACACAACACAATAAATAAATAAATAAATAAATAACAAAAACAAAACAAAACAGGTAAACTAATTAAGAAGAAGCGTAATCAACTTCGACTTTCAGCCTCATCTCAACGACGGACACCGATTGGTCGAAATCACCTAACCACCAGTGCACACACGTTCCCAAAAAAGTTCGTTCCGGTTCCCGACTGCCTGTAGAGTGGAACACGATCCTGGAGACCCAATGGTGGCCTGCCACGAAGGACGGCACCATATCCAGATGCGGGCGAAGGGAGCTCAGTGTAGCGCCGTCGTCGACGTCTTCGCCGGGGCGAGTCTCGCTTCGATTGCCTTTACGCTGTTGTGGAGATTTATCCTCCTAAGCTCACCACCACAAAGTCCCCGACTTGCAATTGCTGTCAGAAAGTGGGCGAAATCTCCACGTGAGGCCACCATTGCCTCATGTCGCAGCGTCGACACCCCACTTAGCTCAGTCCCAACCTTAGGTAGGGGTGGTTTTTTCCTTTGGTTCTGGCCCTGCTTCGTCATGGCGTTGCTCCAGAGTTCTCCTGCGTTTTGCGTCTCCGGTGCTGTGGTTGCCTCCTCTGGCAATACCCCCAGTGCCGGTGTCACCCCCGGGAAGTCCAGCGCGTGTGTTCCTGCGTTGGGTGTGAAGAGCCTTCGTGTCGGTGCATTGCAGATTGTGGGTCGTGTTCCTGGTGTGGTCAGTGTGGTATCCGGTCGCTCCTCCATCGCGGTTGCGGTCTCTAGCCAGAAGCGCGATGGTGTTGAACAGGTACTTGCTGACGCGGTTTCTCCTCATGTGTGTCCGTTTGTCTTTGAATCAATTGTTTTTGAATGTGAGTGATTGAATGCCTGGAGAGTCTCTCTGTTATGTATCCCATGTTGGATTGAAATTGATTCTTAGCTTCCTGGGTGAAGGAGCTAGCCACCATTGATTTGGTAACGGATTCCGGTGCCTCTCTCGAAACCTTGAGGGAAAAGCTTGCCGCGGGAGAATGGGAGGCTGCTGACGCCGAGACTCGACGCCTGTTGTGCGTCTTGGCTGGGGAGGAGGCAGTGAAGAGGAAATGGGTGTATTTCTCCGAGGTGAAATTTATCTCTGCTTCTGACCTAACCAAGGTAGACAGCCTGTGGAGACAGTACAGTAACGGCAAATTCGGTTACAGCGTTCAGAAGAAGATTTGGAACAATTCAGGGAAGTCTTGGAATACTTTCTTCAGGAAGGTGGGGTGGACTAGGCCCTTGGATGATTATCAGGACACATACAAGAAGTTCCCTCTTGAGTTTATGTGGGATGTTGCCGACCCTACCCCTGAGGGTCACTTGCCTCTCACGAATGCATTGAGAGGAACACGGCTGCTAGAGGCTGTCCTACACCATCCAGCCTTTGACAACGTCGACGAGCAGGCCAAGCTGCGGGCCAAGCCAGCAAGCCTTTTTGGATAGCCACGGTAATTTTGGTTTCTCTATCTTGAAAGATTCTTCGATAGAATGATGTGCTCGTCACCGTTTCATCGTTCTTCTATGTAAGTGTCTGTGGGAACACACATTGTCGCACTCCTGTTCAATGCGCTGATTCTAAATTATAATTCTAGCAATGAAGCGAACCCATGGGTTGCTGGATTGTATCGAATATTTTACGATACTTTACTTCCAATTGGGGTTGTAGCGTCAATGGGTTCGTTGGCTATCTTTCGTTGTCCGCATGTGCGAGTTGCATCCGAGATTGTAGACCGTGGATCCCTCTCCGGTTTGTTTGAACCCTCGAATGCTCCTGTCTTTGCAGGTAACTGGAAAGGCTGACTCTGGACACGGCATTTAGAGCCGCTCAAATCGACTGGATAAGCAATGGTGTCGACGCGACAGTCGGAGTAGATGATGAAGCTCAGCATTTTGTTCAGGCGTCTGCTCAGCTCCAATACTTTGCTCAACGCCCACTGTTGATGAGCTCGCCGCACTTGTGCCTCGATGTCAAGTGTGATGAATGATCGAAAGCCGATTTGAGAACGTCTTCGTTAAAAGGCCTAGGTTGTATATAGGTTGGTGGAGGTGCACTTCGTTGCAGTGAAGAGGGTATGAGCTAGAATTTTTTTGTCGATGGCTGTGGTGAATCTTTCTCACCAGTTTGCAACGACAACGATAATGATATTTCTGAATTTGACACCTGGTCTGAAATTTTCCATCGTTCCCTCCGTCTGCCGATGACATATCTGCCTAAACTATGCTTAACCCAATCTGCAAGTCTGTGTGTACATGTTTTAATGCCGACGTGTGGATATGGCAATCTGGAAGGTCTTCTCTTCAACCGAAGCACATGAAATGTCTAATAAAAGTTCGATCACACAGCGGTGACCGCTAGATTTCAACAATGTCTAGTACTTGAAAGAAGTATTTCAGTCTAGGTACCAACCATACTGTTCTGAATTCTTGGAGGCCACTTACGCTTGTTGTCTAGTACATGAATGAAGTAGGTCGAAAGCATTGGTGGAGAATGGGTCTTGTCTTCGCCACATGTCAAAGAATACCCTACATTTACGTCGCGCCTGATGTTAATAATGAGAACGGTAGTGTGTAGGGAATCGGATCATGCTATACGTAATACTTTCGACGACGACACCATTGTCTTACTCCACGTCGCCAACCTACGGAAAACTGTTTTCGGTATTTAGCTGCTGGATTAAACCAAAATGTGCTGAACATTGCCCATTGGAAAAGTCCACAGTTTTGGAGACGATTGGTTAGACGAAAAGCACCGTAAGCGCTGAATGTGTTAGTATCAAGTTTAGTAACGTATCGAATCAGGAATACGTGTACAGGATGATGACGAGAAAGCCATTCAGTAAGCATATCAGAAAGATAACAGTAAGTATATCCAAGCTCAGTGTGAACTCGGTTAACCGAGAGTGAAAATCAGTTATTTATTTAATCCAGTCGCAGCATCCATCGATATCTTCGGAGACATTTGTGTGCGGTGAGAGCGAAGAAAGGACGGAGCGCGAACACAATTTTCTGCATCGCTTCGGTGATGGAGAACTCTTCCTTAGAGAAAATAATCGTTACCACCCTTTGGTTCTTTGCGATCACCCATCTGGAAAGCAAACCCAGCCAGCTGTTTTTATTTTTATTTTTATTTTTTTCCGGCTCTCCACTTTAGCGGATTATCGAGGAATTCCGAGAAACTAAATTTTACAAATTAAAAAAGCAAAGTAAAACAGCTCAAGCTCACGGTTTTTACAATTTGCACTGAACGTGCACATGGTGGAATCCGATATGCTTGGAGGAGTTTTAGAAAGAATGAATCACCACATCAGAAATATAGAATAACCGGGGCCTTATTAGAAAAATCCTCACATGGCCAGGCATGTCTCTGGAGAAAGCAGCCTGCCCAGATCCATATCACCCCTGTATCCCTGGTCCCTTGGGCACTAGGTTTCCGACCTCTCTCTCTCTCTCTCTCTCTCTCTCCACCCCGTTTCAGATCCCCTTCTTCTGCCCTCATCCCCTCACGGAAGGAATGAGCCGCATCTAATGGTCGTAGCAGATTCTTGGAAGCTAGTTTGGAAGCTAGTTTCGGTTGTTGCGTGTGAGTGCACGGGAGAGCGGGACGATTGTGGCCTTTGGTCGATTGAAGAAAGATTGTAAGCTTACCAAAACTCATGACTTCTATTGTCTGTGTCGGGATACAGGAAGTGGGGTGCTCTGGGATACTCACGAAGCTTCTTTGATGGACTTTGGCGGGCATCGAGATCTTGTTGAACACTCATGTGGTGACGAAGGATCTCTGCTTCGGTGGAGTAGTTCCCAGGAAGTTAAGAAGCAGTGCAAGATTTGTGATGCATTTTCAGATTTGTGGGTTTTCTATTTCGTGAATGAACTTTAGTCGTTTCTGGCAGTACTGCAGTACTTGTAGAGTGTCATTAGTAGGTTTACTGATCTAGCAGAGCACAATAGTTCGCAATCAAAGTCTGGGGATAAACTCGATAAATGGGTGGTCTAGCTTCAGTCTTATAAAGCGATTGGGTTCCTGGAGGGTTCCGTGTAAGTTAGAGACTCGCCTGTTTTACTTGTGATCGTAGTTTGAGGGCTTAGTTGATAGGAATTGTGTTTTTCTTGAATTTGTGTGTTGCCCTAAGTTTTTGGGCAACTTGCACCGGCCTTGGGTGTTTGCTTTGTGTTCTACTGTGGGCTTAACGATCACATGAGGTAGCTTCGAAGTTATCTAATATGCGGTGTGTATGTGTTACAAAGTATTGAAGCTTTAGGCTCTTTACTCTTTCCTCTGAGTTCTGTCCTCTGTGAACATGCAGTTTGACAAGTTGAGGTGCTCTTCTCTAAACAGGATGCAAAGCTTCAAACGGCAGAAAAGGTTTTGTCGCACGACATCGTGTGCTCCCTATAATATAAAGGCATGGGTGAGATGCTTTGTCGGCATTTATTAGGGTAGTATAACGAGGGTGAGAAAAGATACTTGGTGACAATGAGAGGAGACGGAGACGATTTGAAGGGTTGATTAGAGAGATGAATGATCAGCTATGGTGTTCAAACTGAGATTCGGGATTACACGCCAGAGGGGTGCAGCAAAGACAGTAGAAATCAATGACGCAGGAGCCACAAACCCTGTGGCGGCGTCGCCCCCATCTCCGACCCCAGCTGGGTCAGGGTCGGGGTCAGGGTTACCAACGCCGGCCGTTCCGCCAGTCTTGAAACCTAACGTAAATCCTCTTGGGACACGGAATCCTGCCATGCCCATGGTGCGGCAAGCTGGAGAGGTTCTTGCGTCCTCGGTGCTTGCGCAGAGCTCACCGAAACCGCAGGACAAGAAGTCGCCCATGGGAATTTTCGAGCCTCTGCCGTCTTTCAGGGATGTACCTGTTTCTGAACGACAGTTTCTGTTCTCCAGGAAGCTCAACCTCTGCTGCCATACATTCGACTTCACAGATCCAACGAAGGATGTGAAAGAGAAAGAGATTAAGAGACAGACACTGCTGGAGTTGGTTGATTACGTGACGTCGGGGACAGGGAAATTCACAGAGAATGTATTTGAAGATGTCACTCGAATGCTTGTTGTCAACCTGTTCCGCACTCTCCCTCCTGCCCACCACGAAAACACGGGCGCCGAGGGTGAGGCAGACGACGAAGAGCCTGTCATGGACCCCGCATGGCCGCATTTGCAAATCGTATATGAGTTCCTGCTACGGTACGTGGTGTCTTCCGAAACAGATGCCAAGGTTGCTAAGAGATACATTGATCATTCATTTGTAGTTAGGTTGCTAGATCGCTTTGATTCCGAGGATCCTCGGGAGCGGGAGTATTTGAAAACGATACTGCACAGGATTTACGGGAAGTTCATGGTTCACCGTCCCTTTATACGCAAGACTATCAACAATATCTTCTACCGATTCATTTACGAGACCGAGAAGCACAATGGCATTGCTGAACTTCTGGAGATTCTAGGAAGTATTGTTAACGGCTTTGCTCTGCCTCTCAAGGAAGAGCATAAGCTCTTTCTTGTCCGAGCTCTATTACCACTCCACAAACCCAAAGGCGTTTCTACGTATCACCAACAACTCTCCTATTGTATTATTCAGTTCGTGGAGAAGGATTTCAAGCTGGCGGATACAGTAATCAGGGGTATGCTTAAGTACTGGCCCTTGACCAATAGTCAGAAAGAGGTTCTGTTTCTGGGAGAGCTGGAAGAAGTCCTCGAAGCGATTAAGGGCGCAGAGTTTCAGCGCTGCATGGTGCCCCTCTTCAGGCAGCTCAGTCGTTGTCTCAACAGCTCCCATTTCCAGGTAAATATTGCACTTAATCCTTATCCTGAGCTGCAAGGTTATGAAGTTTATCCTAAATTACCCTGATTTGTTGAGATTTTTCTATTGTGGACATTCAACCATCACATTATTTTTTTGAATCAGTTGATGGTTGTACACATTATACTAGCTTAAAGCAGATTTGCTGTAGCTGCTCGAAGCATTCTTCATGGTACTGTAGCAGGTTTTTGAGATGTGGGATTTCTTGCTTGTTGAATCACCCTAATCAGTACGCAACTGGGTTGCTGATTTCTGCAGGTGGCGGAACGCGCACTATTCTTATGGAATAATGACCACATCGTGAGCTTAATTGCTCAGAACCGTCATGTGGTACTTCCCTTAATCTACCCTGCTCTGGTGAGGAACACAACTAGTCACTGGAACCAGACTGTGCATACCCTTACTGTGAACGTTCGTAAAATGTTTATGGAAATGGACCAAGAGCTTTTTCAGGAATGTGACCGCAAGTACCAAGATGACGTAGCGAAAGCTAACAGCGTAGATGAAAAACGTGAAGAGACTTGGAGGCGTTTGGAAGCTGCAGCAGCAACACGCAGCCAAGCTTATTTTAGTGTAGTCTCAGACAGCGTAACGAACAGCCCAACTGGGTTTGGTAAAACTTTTCCTGGTGGACAGAGGGCAATGGTGGGAAGCTAGTCTTTTGTCTTGGACTAAGATTAGTCGAATCGCTGAGATAGATCGAATAGCTCGAATACCCTCTTCCTTCTTCCTTCTGCCTTCTACGATTTCATCCTTCCCTGCATTGTCTAGGGATTTGTTTCTCAGAATGACCAGGCTGACGGAGTCTACACTGTGTCAGATGTGACTCATTGTGGAGGTCGATTTTTAGAGTCTGTACACAACCATGTGCTACTCAAGAATTCAGGATTAAAAAGAGAGTCCATGGAGGGAAAGCTAGCGAAGCTTGAATGGTGCTATTGCCCTGTCAAGTGACTGGTGTTTGTTTTCTTCTCCATGATACATATGTTTATTCTCAGTGAGTTAGAGAACCTGAAATGTTTAGATCACTTGTTTGCTGTAAAAAGACCTCTTTAACGTGGTGTCAGTGTTCTCTAGGACTTGGCCCTTTGCAGTGATTAACGTGTAGATCAGAAAGAAAACCTACCGGGTCTTTCCAGTGTAGGTGTGTGAAGATGTTGTCCAGAATGAAAGTGTGAGGTGCTGTTGTAGTGTAGTTAATAGAGAAAGATGATATCCCATTCCTTAGAACCTTGCCTTGCCTGGTGTGCTAGAGATCGTTAACCTGTGTTAGTTTCTACTTCAAGATTTGAATTATAATTTTTCGCTTTTGGTCCCTTGGCCAAGGCGTTTTTCTTTTTCTATTTTTTTCATTTTGACCTTAGTGCCATAGCACTATTTTGCTTAAGGGGAACCTCTGTAGTTGCTCGCTGTGGCAGCTTCATGTCATCGAATGCCGTCTTTTGGCTTTAACCAATGTGTTGAAACTCGATTTTGTAACTGTCCTTGCGTTGTTCTTCAAAAGTCCTTGTAAAGCAGATGGTGGCCATTCAATGTGAGAATGGCATGTGGGTTTTTTTTTGGCTTTAGCATTTCACATCTGTCAATTGAAAGACCTCCATGCCTAAAAGAGTAGCCTGGAAATTTTGGGACTGATTGAACTGTCTTCTCAAAAATTTGTTAATTTTTTTTCGCATTAAGGCTTCTCAAATGATTGGCTTCACGTTCATTCACCAAGTTCACCATGATTTATGTTCGCCACCGTCTTCACAGTCCGCAAGGTCAGGTACTTTATTCACACCCCGCAAGGACTTTCCTGAAGGAATAACAAGAACTACTTGAGGCTGCTGCGTCCGCTGGATCAAGGAAGTAAAGGAGGTCACATTCACGCACGAGGTTGGTTCTTGTTACTTGTTATTCCTATTTTGTGGGTCGGTTTCGTTGGAGCAGAAAGCAATTGTATTTCAGTGAAACGAGGAAATCTCGGTGGAAAGTGTCTCTGATGTTTCTTAGTTCATTGTATCCTGAGAATTGTGCTGTTTTTCATTTTCTCTGATTTCGTCTCCCATAAGCTATCTTACCCCTGTTCATAGTGGTGTCTCCTGCGTAACATCATAACTGGTGTGATTCCTGTTTAGCAAATGTTTCGATGACAACCATTGATGTCATAATCACTACATCGAATTTATGACGTTGTTTCTGTATCGTACAGCTTAGTTCGGAAACCAAGGTGAAAAAAAAGAATCTTCCAGAATAGAGTTAATTCGTGAGGATAATATCTAAGGTGGTCCAGAAGTGACTTGGGCTATACCTGCTGATGCCGTTCCCGACGATGAAGGTGTACAGATTGAGGTATTGCTATCTACTCGAAGGCAGTTGGCTTTCTTCTCAACAAATTTTCGCTATTAATTGTTGGACTTGTGTGCTATTGTGTAGAGTCACAGATTATACAAGTACAGAATTACGTTAACTTATTTAATTCTATTTAATCCTTCACTCAACTGCTTTTGATGGTGATGCTCTAATTGTATGCTGTGCAGCCGCTATCAGAACATGTAGATCATGCATACATTCTGGTTTCGAAAACTTTAGCAACCTTAGCAACACAGAAAGGGCATCTTAAGAACACGATAGTCTTTAGATTCCGCGTAAGCTTTTGTGTTCTAAGTGTAGTTTTGGCTGGTAGGCTTTTTTCTTTAAATTAAAAGTATTTTACTGGGAACTTTAGATGGATGATATCAAAATCTGAATTCGTGGAAAATCATGTTCCAACTGCATGGAGAACACTGGTTCTGAAGCTTATGTGGTTTCTGCGTCTCCTTCACAATGAGGTTAATCGTTCATCATGGATATCACGGCACAATTAGCTGTGATTATAACAATCGCAAAGATGTTTCCCAAATTCACATGTCTTCATTGGATGTAAGACATTGGGTATAATTTTGTTCTTGTACTAGGCAATTGGTAGGATCTTCACTATCTAAAATCAACCCGAAGAAGGCACCCGAAGATGCAGATTGTGGTCTGAGTACATCAGTTGCTGTGTCAGTGGTACCAGCTCGCCTCTTTCTATAGCCTATGTACTAATTTTATCTGTACCTTTTCTAATTGCACGCACCGATGTATGCCCCGGTCAATCTCTCGTGTCGTATTGAGTTACAACGAAGATAACGAACAACTTATTAAGCAACATCTGATGAGCGGCCTGTAGTAGTATTTTCCTGTAGCTTCTTTCTAAATACCAACAGACGATTATAGTTTCTTAAAAAGAGTAGATGTCTCTGTGGCAGGGAACATAGTAAACCCATCAGACAGTCACGTTATGACAGGGGCACTTGTGCATTCCTTACGTGGTTAGAATATGTCGAAACTGAACGATTTCTATTCGGTATGAGCAAAGTGGAGTGCTGCTTCATTCAATCCTCGGTGCTCTGAGAAGTGGCTCTTCAGTCCATTACACTGAAGGATTTGGGGAGCATTGCATCCTTTTGCTTCCTCCAAATTCTTCAGGCAATTAAGCTCATGCAGATATCTCCTTAATTAATGAAGAGTAGAAGAAAAAAAGGGAAATGAGATTTGCACTGAAAAAACCAGTGCAACCAACACCTCACCCACCACTAGATGGAGACTGTCTGTCCAGTACTTGATTGACCAAGCAAGGTAGAGAACAAAACTAAATAAATAGTGGACCCCTCCCTGTGGGAGTGGAATGAAGGAAGTGGAGTTATTTATACATGGTGTCCCAATCCGAAAACGCTGAAAATTAAAAATGCAGTTCGTATCTCGAGTGAATATAAGCGTCCTGGCATTGCCAGGGTCTGGATTTTCTCTAACTCCCTATTTGCGGTGGAGAAGACGGGCATCGATCCCGTTACCTCCTGAATGCGAATCAGGCGCTCTACCATTTGAGCTACTCCCCCGAGTTGTTCAGCAGTGAACGAAATAATGTATTGATCGTGTAATCGTTTGATGCGTCGGGGCTAACGAACGATGTTAGGTTTAAAATGTCATATTCATCCATCGTTTGTTCAGTGTGTGTTTTGTTGTGGTAGGGCTTTTGCGGTTGAAGGGTTTAGCATCGCTCCATTGCTATGGTCCTGGCCACTTCGTCGTTCTCTGGAGTTCTGTAGATTTTCTCGTCTGTGTGTGTTCGCTCTGTGGATTGAGTTGTCACGATGTTGCGAAGGAACACACGTTTGCGGCGTGAGTATCTGTATCGCAAGAGCTTAGAAGGGAAAGAGCGCGTGCTGTATGAGAAGAAAAGAAAAATCAGGCAGGCTCTCGCTGAGGGGAAGCCCATACCTACTGAGCTAAGGAACGAAGAGGCTGCTCTTCGTCAGGAAATAGATCTCGAAGACGACCAGACTCAGGGTATTTCTTCTCCCTTAGGTTCAGAGTTTCGTGATTGAATTTGTGCTGTCTTAATTAGGTTAGATGTTGTTGACTTAGACAGGGCTTAGAGTTTGTGTGAATTCCGGCTGACTTATGGAAAGTGCTTTTTGGTCGATATGGCCGCAGAATTGAAGAGCACTATTGACGACGAATATAGTAATGCTGGCATTGAAAATCCTAAGATTCTTCTGACCACGTCGCGTGATCCGAGTAGTCGGCTTATGCAAAATCGCCAAGTTTTAGTTGATCTCATATGCTGACAAATTCTTGAACCAGAAAGTATTGTGAGGATGAAGACTGTAACTAGTAGGCTCATCATGGGAAGCGCCACCGGTCTATTTAGTAATGCGCATGGAATAATTTCCACACCCAACATAAATGAGACTCGTTGCTATCTTCCTGTTAGGCGGAATTCACGTCTTCGAAAGATGCTTCATCCGAAAGTCATTCTAAAATACACAATCAAAGATGAAAAATGAACGCATGCTAATCAAATAAAAAAACAAATTTCTTGGTATGTGTGTGTCACAGCCTAGAATTCGTAGTGAAAAGGGTAATTTAAATAAAAGTTGAGAAAGACTGGTACAAAGCTCATTTTTCAAAGAGCAATACGTTTCTTTCCAGAATTCATGTATGGTCTTATTACCCATTCATTCTGAGCTTCTGTTTGGTCCATTGTCCCAAGCTTCACCTGTTAAACAACAAACAATTGCATCAAAATTGTTAAAAAAACAGCTGCAGGAAAAGCCGTTAATGATTGAATAGGAAGACCTCCTATTCAATCACATAACAGAAGCAGAAACATAGTCCTCTGCGGTGAAATTTAACTCTTCACAAATTTATGCAGGCGAAGAGAGAGAGAGAGAGAGAGAGAGAGAGAGAGAGAGAGAGAGAGAGAGAGAGAGAGAGAGAGAGAGAGAGCAAAGAAACATTGATAATAACAAAACAATGCAACAAAATAGAATTCAAGTATAGTACTGCCATGGCTTGACATGCATTGATTATAGGCAGCTTTACATCAGAGAGAAAAACAAAGTATATTGACAACGATGAATTACCTGATAAAGCCGAAGTTCAAACCGTGGACCAACTTCTTTGATATCTATTGACTTTACACCTGCCGGCTTTTCGTACATATGATGCCTGGTATTTCACCACCCAACCCCAACTAAGTCTAAAATGAAGAGTGAATGTCACCGAAATGAGTGGATCTGAATCAAAAAGTGATCAGTACCAAAAACCATATGAAGAACACACACTAACCTGAAAGAAATATAGTCCGATTGGTTAGCAAATGTGATAATACGTTTCGCGTCTGGTTTTGGGACTGGAAACAAGTGCTTCAAGATATTAACGGTCCTCTGCCCAAGCTTGGTGTTGAAATTATTGAAGATGAGATGAGGATATTGCTCAGACATAGTACCTAGGACACCTTTGTCCTTGATATCATGCCTTGTAACCTAGCAACAATAAGCAGAGAAAATCAATCAACTTGCAGACTCTGGACTTTGACATCATCAAATTGATAGGACCCTCTGGAGAGGCACTCTTGAGTTTTACGAACATGGGTTAACTGAAACAGGACGCAGAAAAGAATTACTTACCACATTAGAGAGACCAAAATAAGCTGTTGGGCCATATGGTAGATGGCAGACAATAAGTCCATCAGGCTCTCCTCGATGCTCATGAACCATAATTAGGTCGGAGTACTCTTGAGCTCTACATGACTCTACTATTTCGGATATTACCTGCAAAGACAGACAGCCAAGCATAGTCGGTATCAAGGTAAAAGTTCCATCCAAAGATGATGTACCAAACTCATAGGGCTCGGATATCAAGTTCTGGTTGAACCAATTACCAAGTTGGTGCGTTCTAATGCAAGGAAAGTAAATAAACAATAACAAGCAACCACACTACATAATCCAAGACAATCAGAAATCGGCAATAATGGAGACAATGGTAGTACTATACATCAAGGTCCTCGACAACAAATACAGACTAGTTATCCTGATGAATAACGATTCATACCTGACCTCCTCGGTTGATTCGTTGAGCATTAGGAAACACGATTTTCAATTCCTGCACATACAATAGTGAATTATTAATTTCCTTGGAATGAGAAACCCCTTCGAACACAACGAGACCATAATTCAGATTGTTAATTCCCCTACATCGCACAAACGTCTTTAACCAAAACAACCTACTCATTACGGATAGAAACTACATGACCACATGACCAAGTTCTGTTACCTTCACAAATTGCGTAAGCCGACTACTCGGATCACGCGACGTGGTCAGAAGAATCTTAGGATTTTCAATGCCAGCATTACTATATTCGTCGTCAATAGTGCTCTTCAATTCTGCGGCCATATCGACCAAAAAGCACTTTCCATAAGTCAGCCGGAATTCACACAAACTCTAAGCCCTGTCTAAGTCAACAACATCTAACCTAATTAAGACAGCACAAATTCAATCACGAAACTCTGAACCTAAGGGAGAAGAAATACCCTGAGTCTGGTCGTCTTCGAGATCTATTTCCTGACGAAGAGCAGCCTCTTCGTTCCTTAGCTCAGTAGGTATGGGCTTCCCCTCAGCGAGAGCCTGCCTGATTTTTCTTTTCTTCTCATACAGCACGCGCTCTTTCCCTTCTAAGCTCTTGCGATACAGATACTCACGCCGCAAACGTGTGTTCCTTCGCAACATCGTGACAACTCAATCCACAGAGCGAACACACACAGACGAGAAAATCTACAGAACTCCAGAGAACGACGAAGTGGCCAGGACCATAGCAATGGAGCGATGCTAAACCCTTCAACCGCAAAAGCCCTACCACAACAAAACACACACTGAACAAACGATGGATGAATATGACATTTTAAACCTAACATCGTTCGTTAGCCCCGACGCATCAAACGATTACACGATCAATACATTATTTCGTTCACTGCTGAACAACTCGGGGGAGTAGCTCAAATGGTAGAGCGCCTGATTCGCATTCAGGAGGTAACGGGATCGATGCCCGTCTTCTCCACCGCAAATAGGGAGTTAGAGAAAATCCAGACCCTGGCAATGCCAGGACGCTTATATTCACTCGAGATACGAACTGCATTTTTAATTTTCAGCGTTTTCGGATTGGGACACCATGTATAAATAACTCCACTTCCTTCATTCCACTCCCACAGGGAGGGGTCCACTATTTATTTAGTTTTGTTCTCTACCTTGCTTGGTCAATCAAGTACTGGACAGACAGTCTCCATCTAGTGGTGGGTGAGGTGTTGGTTGCACTGGTTTTTTCAGTGCAAATCTCATTTCCCTTTTTTTCTTCTACTCTTCATTAAACCCTGCAAAATTATTTTGAAGATTTAATTATTCAGTTTGGTTTTAAATTTTTTTAAAGATTCACACCCCCCATGGGTAAGATTATCCACAATTTACTTTTTTTTTTTACCCTCAAATACACTCTTTCTTGCAAAATCTAAATAATTTAACAAATTGTAATTCTCCAAATTTTACAATTTTCATAAAATACAACCTATCACTCATTTTCTATTCTCTATTGTCTATTAAAAATGTAAGAGGATTTTGGTTTTCTTCATGTTGATTCTTGTAACATATTTCATAAAAATAAACCCATCAGAATCAAAGGATTTTTGTTGTTTGGAGCATGTCATTAGAAGATTCCAATTATTTGATACATGGGGTTTACCGTTTTCTTTATCTGTTTTTTTTGTTTGTTTATTTTTCTAGAAAAATTATTCTACCAATTCAAAGGAAGTGTATGTATTCAATTTGAACCACAGATTTTAATTTATATTATCTCAAATTGAAACTTAGGGGCCCCCACACTCATGGAGCCATCAAGAGATAAGGAGGAAGGCAGCAATTCTTAAATCATTTAACTACTTGGAATTGCAAAACTTTTATATTTCAATCTATCAAAGGATATGAACACCTTAGCCCCTCACTTCGTCTCTTCAGTACAAAGACCCCCTTAAATTCTTCTAAAACATTCAATAAGAGAAACAACAATTCGTACATTACATATACAAACATAATCAACAAAATATCTAATTAATTAAATATCCACCTTCATGCGCACATTTTAGGAGGTGCATGTCAAGCACATAAAGAAAGAGCAAGAATTGTGAAACTAAGAGATGTATCGAAAAGTTTAATTTTGTAACTTTTTATCATATAATATAAAATCTAACAAGTTTTACAAGTTAAACGTCCCAAAACGGGCATCTTAAGATGGATTTTAAAAGTCCTAATATGCTTTCCTTTCTACCAATCAACTAACTGACTGTACACCTATCTTAACAAATAACTAAGTATTTATTATTAATTATGCATCAATTTCAGATGAAATATTCGGTTACAAGATCGGGAAGCAAAATTCTCGAGAAAATAAACCAGAAGTGATGCCAAGTGGAGGGGATCCGACGTGGCATCAGTTCTGTAATCCACCTCCACAAGCTTCTCGAGAACAGGAGCACAAGACGGGGCTTAGTTGTCTCCGATGGATCAGTCGTCGGATATGTAAGCCCATCGACAATCGTCAATCTCCGACGACACGCACCGAATTGACTGTGTGACACCAGCATCTGCATCATTCTATTAATTCTAGTGTACATTTTGAGAACTGCCTAACCCTGCAGCGGTGAATTTGTGGGTACTGGTGGATGAGCTTTTAAGAAAACCCGTTTGCTGCGATTGAATTCGGGTGCTACGAAGCAAGATTCATAAATCAGAAGATTCCGGGGAGGATGACGCTGCGCTGTTGCGGGAACCCGTCCACATTCTTCTTGTACCAATTTTTTGTGGCGATGCCGCGGCCAGTCAAGTACAAGGTCGCGAAGGAAACCATGCACCAGCCATAGACTGTTTGGCTAATGAGTGCCATGCCTACGAAGTCTATCACCTCAAAGACGTAGTGAGGGCAAACGAAGAGACCGAAGAGGCCGCCGTGGGGTACCACGTACTTCTTCTGACCATCCTTGCGAAGGTTGGCGAGTATCCAGTGATGGTAGAAGTTGCCAGTTAATCCGATCAGAAACACTGCTACACCCAGGTATTTGGTGTCGGGGGATGGTGCTTCGATGTCGGCGGATAGAAGTTGGGAATAGAGAAGGAGGACGACTTGGAGGCTATAGCTTGTGCTGATTGTGACCGCATCTCCGACACTCATGGACCCGGAGAACCTGTGCAAGAACAGAACCTGAGAAAATACAAAAAGAAATCGTGTGAGGGAGACACTTGTAAGTCCAATTAGCTCCAACGGCAGCAGAATTTCGAGTGTCCAGGCATTCGTAGTTGGGTAATGCAATTGGCGGATATTGGTTTGATACCTCAACGGAACGCTTGACGAAATGAACAGACAAAGCGGCGGCTACAAGCAGAAGACGATCGTCGGAAGCAGCTACAGCTTGGTCCAAGAAAGATGCAGCACCGGAAGCACCGATCGACTCTAATAGTGACGAGAGAGGCAGGAAGCCAACTGCATACGCCAAGAACACGGAGGCAAGCCCGGCTGCAACTATGTAGATGGAAAGCATTCCCACCCTACTTGGTACCATGGCCTTATTGTCTTTACCCAACGCACTGGCAAACTTGGCGTAACCCATATTCTTTCCCGTCGCTTCGTTATACATTTGAAGCGGCCCGGAGAAAGCAAGCAAAAACTCCATCGTTTTTACAACAATGCTGTCAGCATGCGGAAACAATCCAGGCAATGCAGCCATGGTCAGTGACACCCTTCTACTACGAACACCACTCGAACCTACCTCAAAACCCCGGATGAAGCCCCCACTTCTCTGACCGCGTACAGTGGGCACCGAAAATAGAGACGACCGATACGTGGAGCTTCTGGAAACTGAGAACCGCGGCTGCTTCAGCGGCTGGACCTGCAAACAATGCAGAGCCTGTGGGTAGGTTACAAGTCGAGACATGGACGCCTTCCAAAGCTTTCCTAGTCACGGCAAACACTGTAAGCTTGAAACGCAGACACGCAATGCAGGAACGGCACCAGATGGCAGCTCACTAGAGATTTTCGTGTAACAATAACACAAACATGAGGACTTGTCGTTTGCAGCACCGAGGGACTTTAAAAAAGAAGGTAAAACAGAATAGAAACGTGAGGTACGCATAGGCGTTACATGCTGTTGTGAGAAGGCGGTCGTCGAGATGTGTTCGAATGCGGGTGGAGGCGATGAATGGATCGAGGGAGACGTGGACCAATGCTTTACCGTGCAAGCCATGCATGATCCGTCACAGTGCACGACACCGCTCTAGTCTTTATCGCGCGGTGCTTTTCGGAATGTCGCCTCTGTCTCCATGCGTCTTCTTATGAGATGAGAGGGCTCGCTCGTGTTGCCTCTCTCGCCGTTTCGGTGCTTCTTCTTCTTTTTCAGGGCCACAAATCCGCGCATCCCATCACTACTGCAAGATGGTTTGGAACTCAGTATCACGTTCTGGCGGAATTCAGTTGTGGGCAGACAACAAAGATGTGATTTTGTAAACCAACATCTACACTTGCGAAATCAAGGTTTCAATGGATCATTAATGTTGGTGACCTTTGAGTGATAGATCTGATATTTTTAGGGCAATTTGTTTGGTTTGTCACTAATTTAAGGTTGGGATAAGAGATAAGATATTCCATCTGGAGTATTGTATCTCTCTGTCAATAGTTTTAGCGAGTTATGCTCATTCTCATTCTTCTCTTTTGGGAAGTTGTCCCTTGAACGGTTTTCATCATTGCTAAACATTACAGCTATCGAATTGGGATGTTGCTGTGGTTGGACATTCATGATGTTGTACTTTGTAAATGATGTGTAATCATGGATTCTAACCAAAAAATCCAGAAAAATCTCATGGATAGAAGAGAAAAAACATGGAAGAAATAAATAAGTAAAACCGAATTGCAGTCAAAGAATTCAATATATTATATACACATATTGTCACCAAGTTTATTTATTTATTTATTTCTTTCTTCCTTTCCTTTTCTTAAAAACTAAGAAGAAAGAAAAAGAAGAAGAAAAAAAGAAAAAGAAAAGAGTCTTAAAACTTTATTATCATGATGCTAATCTTCATTCCTTCGTCTCAAGAGTGTTCCTTGGCTACCACATAACTTCTGTATTTACATTTTTTTATATTTTTATTCGTTTTCCTGAAGCAAAACATATTGCTTGAATAATAAAGAAAAAATTAAAAACAAATTATTCTATTCAATGAATACAATAAACACTACACTTCTCTATATTTTTATCCCTTTTAAAATAGTTAAAAATGTTTGAAGTGAGGATTCCATGTAGATTAATTTGATCTGTTTTAACACATTTTAAAATGATCTAAAATTATGCTCCTTTTATTATATATGTATATATACATTGTTATTTTAGTATAAAAGTGGTACTTCAGAAGAATATGTTTCACAAAATAACAATAAGAAAACATTGTTGTTATTTCTATACTATTAAAAGATCACATCCACATTTTGAGGAATACAAAACTTATTTACATTTTAAATTCTTTTGAAACAATATACCAAACTATATTGCACTAGTTTGTAAATGAGAAAAGAAACTCTAAGTTGAAAAATAGCAAAACAAACACATGGCAACAATTCTTTATTGAAGAGGTCTTGAAGTATCAATAATTTTGTGCAAGTGCTATCTAGCTTCTATATACATCACCACTTTGTCCTGCAACTTATTCTTTTCCCTAGTTGAGCTAAAACGATTTTCTTCAACAAAATGTAAACCCACAACAAGCAACATATGCAAAATGCCTCTGAAAAGGTGGAACACAAAACTGGAGAATCAGGTCACTCTGCAAACAAGATCTGCTCTCTGAAGAGAACAAAGAGCAATTGACGTTGAGAATGCAACATGAAGGTCAGGTGGGTGCTTCATTGAAGAATATAGAACAAGAAATACGAACCTAAGTCGTCTTCACAGAGGAAACCACAAAAGCTGTGTACTGAGCATAGCCTTCGAAACAAAAGATACTTGGAAGATTGTGTATTAAGTTGAATTTAAGTTACATGGTAATGTCCAGTACAGAGCTAACATGTTCTTTGACGAGATTTCCACCAACTCAACATGATACAGTGAACTTTGGTCTAGCGCCCTCCTGCTCCTGCTGAGGCTGCTGCTCCAGGTCTAGTATACGATGCCCTCGCAGCCTTCGACTGCGCAAGCATCTCATCGTAGTTTCGTTTCTCCATAGCGATTCCTCGTGGCTCTATGATCTTGTCTGCAAGACCATAATCAACTGCCTCCTGTGGTCTGAAGTACCGAGGCCTTCGAATGTCATTAGCAATCACTTCCTTGGACTTGCCAGTACCCGAAGCCAACAGGTCTATGTAGTAGTCTGTGTTAGCATCCAGCTCCTTGCCTTTGATCCACATATCTGTTGATGACCCACTGGACTGGTTCACCTTCGGTGAATACAATTTGGTGGAGGAGCTGGGTTGAAGTGCACGGTAGCCTTTCTCTCCAAGGGACAAAAGCATAGCCGCTTGACCGAATGCCTGTCCACAGTTGATGGTGTAAACTTTGGATTTCACATACCTAATGGTATCCGCTATGGCGTATGCCTCAGTCTCAAAACCAATGCTCTCTTTCTTCTCATTCTGAGTTCCAGAGGAATTAATATAAAAATAAATTGGCTTTGTCGGATTGTCAAAATCCAACCACAAAAGCTCCGCAATGATCAGCTCAGTAACTGCAGGCACAATGGCCATACCTAGGTAGCAGATACGGGCATCAAGGAGAAGAGAAGGGAGGTCGGGAGGAGCAGTCTTGGGGCGCCCGCCAGCACTTCCTCCTCCCCTGTACATACTTACACTCATGCTCAACCGAGAAGGCGCACCGTCCAGCCCCGTTGCGCTCCACATTCCAGTACCTAAGCATAGAGCAAAATAGAAATCAATAAAAGTAAAAACAAATAAAAATTTGGTTGCAAGTAAATCAAAACCCTCACCATGGATAATGAGATACGTGCAAAAAATCTGGCATTTCGGTGCGCCGAAGTATTGTGCTTTTTCACCTCATACGTAAACAACCTTCTACACTCTACTTACGAAGAGATGATAATTTTGAAAGACATGGCTCGAAATTACTGATAACTTGACTTTTCAACTTCGAGCAATAAAAAGTACTTGAAATATCTGTTTGTCCAGCGGAAAATTTTGTAGTGTAAGCAAAATTCCGCCAGTTAGGCTTTCAAATCATGGGCAAGAATTAAAACTAGACGAGATTCCATTAGGTGAATATGAAACATGCTCATACTTAGTTCTGCACTCCTACATGAGAAGCGGCTACAACATCGCATTATCTTTGAGAACAATACACACTTCATTGCAGCCATTGCAACAGCCACAAGCTCGTCAATCTTTCGAATCGAAAATACAAGTTCAAACAAAAAGCTACATTCTTACCGTCTTGGTATCTACTAGCCGAAGAGATAGAAGCCTCCGTGACACGCTCCGCTTGCCTTTGATACGGATTGTTCTCCACCATAAACGTATCCATCTGAGAAGGGCTCAATCCATACAAACTCGGTGGACAGGTCTCGAAATTTTGTGTCAAACCGTCTTTCAAACCATCCTGTCTAAACTGCTTCGGGATATGGTTGAAACTCCCAGCCTGCGCCCGCACACCCAAAAACCTACTCTCCGTCCTCCTGGAGTCCACAGCCTCCTGCTGGGCCTTCTGTCCCAGCCCACACCCGGAGACCTGCAATCTCTCCCCAGCGAATGAACTCCGAAATCCACACGAGCTCAGCGTCGCGGGCGCCGCTACGAGGCCTCCCGGCGCAACTACGACCATGGCCATTCCTCCCACGACGACGTTTCCTCTGATTCCACTCAATCGTGAACCGATTCTCCCGAAAAAAATTGTCGGTACAATCCCTAGAGTTGTCGATCAAGTCTACAACTGCACCAGTGGTGGCGTTTCGCCTCGCGTGAGAGTGATCACGCGCATAATGGAATTCCAGTGGCTTACAGCAGATGCCGCTTCCAGGCTTGGGTCCCCGGACTGTAGCCGCAGCCACAGGGAAGTAAGCAGCTTGAATACGTTCATCTATTAGGACTGGATGGATGAGTGCCTTCCATCGAAGGCAGATATCGCAAAGTAGAGATTTGACGAAGGTTCGAATCCTGCTGCGGTATATCTTGTGCTTTCACCTCCATTCCCGTTAAGGGTCAACTTTACAAAGAATTATAATTTACAATGCTCTATATTATCTATTTATATATTATAATTTTTAATTTATAATTATCTATATTATTCTAAACCCTACACCTCGGTCAATATTAAGTTATGTGTCATTAGAGAGTTATTAATGTCATTTGTCTTGAATCTTCTAAGTTTATGTGTTGGTATTATATATTGTCAACATAGTATTTTATAGTAGCACATTCTCAAATTGCGATTAATTAAATTCAATGTTTCTAAATAATAATAATAATAATAATAATAATAGGTAGAATCAATCAATTCAATATATTGGATATTATTCAAACCAAAAGTTGGAGTTTAGATTCCAAGCAATATCACAAGTTTCAAAACCTTTATCTTTATTGATAGCCCTATACTATAAACATAAAATGCAAACAACCTAGAATTAAAAAGTAGAATATAGAATTTAAATTAGCATCACCATTGATAAGTATAGATTAAAATTGCTATAACAATTACTAAGCAAATATACTATAATTTCTCTTGTATCTTAAAAGTCTATTTTTAGACTTTAATAGAATTACACAACACAACAAAAACATCTATCTTGGTAGAGTATGTAATATTCACTTAATGCATGTATAAATAGATTATTATTTAAGTTTTGGATCACTAATTTAGTTGAAAATATAAATAAAATTAAGAATTTTTTATGCAATTGTAAAATAGTCACATTATTAATTTATGGTTATTTTTTAAAAAAAATATTTGATAACAAGATATGCAAGGATGTTGTAGCAATGCTTGTATTAACAAGAAATCATTGCTATTGTACCAATTTATTGTTTTTGGCATTTATTATTTAATGAGTTCTATCAATGATTGTCACTATTAGCCAAGAAGGATATTAAGAGTCTTGATGCAAGAAAGCAATAAGGTATGCCATTTTAAGAGGATGATAGTATCTAAAAGAAGTAGCTTTATAAACTTGTTTCTTATTTAATATCCAAAACAATGATAATTCTATTTTTAATTATACATAAGTACAAATTCCTATTTTTTTCTTCTAATATGATATTTGAATATCATAAGCAATAACCATAGAAAAAAAATGTTGTTTTTAGTTGTGAAGTCTAACAATCAATAAAGCCAATCTTATTAGTTTTTTCTAACAAAGTTTTCAACTTATTATAACTTACTTTTTGATATATTTTTTTCAAAGTGAAAGTGCTTTAGTTTAATGCCTCTTTACTTATACATCAAACTTATTCTACTTACATATATTCTAAATGTAATTGAAAGTTGTCTAAATAAATGTAATGAAGCACTTGTATTCTTTAATTTTAAAATTTATTTATAATATAAAATATTTTATATTATTCTTCAATTACTTTCAAACCTTATTTGTTAGTATTAATAACTTAAAATGTTGTAGAAAGGCATCTTCATCTTTTGATAAGATGACAAAGACATACAGAATTTACTTGAAGCCAACAATATTTTGAAGCTTCAAGCTTTCCAAAGCATCTTTAAGCAAAAATACATACTTAATCAAGATTGATAATAGAATTAAGAAAATTTATTGGCAAAATGTTTTAAAAAATTAATATTAAAGATCTTAATAATGTCTCTTTTAATTTTAATTTTAATTTTTTTCATTCTTATTATTATAAAATATGATAATTTGAGTAAGATTCTTAATATCTTACTACTTTTTTATTGCAAGTTACAAGATATTTATTAATGGAATTTCCAAATTTTTTCTTAATGAATATATATAAATAAATAAATATATATATATAAAGTCTTTTAGTTATTTTATATTTTATTGGTTAATTAATAGAGAACTAAACCTTATTTTTTTATTAATTTGCTTATATTTAAAACAAAAAATAGATTAGCAAGCATAGTCAAATTTGAATCTAAGACATATTTTTTTTTTGTTAGAATTTGAATTACAAATGATTAATATTTCTTTAGTAATATATTTCTTATAAGAAATATGTTTTTTTAAAGTTAGTGATCATTTCAAGTATATAAATATATAAATATATAAATATATATATTATATTTATAATAATTAAAAAATATCTTTTTTTATTAGATATTAGGCAATTCTTTGGAAAAAATGGAGTATATAGATTTTTTTTATTTTTTACCATTTATTTATATTCAATTCTATTAAGGTTTCTTATAAAATAGGCTATCAATATTATAAAATTATTTGCTTATTATAAAAACAAAAAAGAATTTTTGAGATTATTTTTAAAAATATATGATTACTAACTATTTTTATATATTTTTCTTTTATATAGAGTTTGCAATCTTCATATTAATCAAATTAATTCTTTAGATCCTTAGTCTTATAATAAGTAGATTTTTTTTTAACATTTTTTTGTTGTTGCTCTTTATAAAAGTTATATACTTGAAATATTAAAGACAAAACATCTATAGATGATTATAATGGTAGGTACAATTAAATTCTGATTTGATTATTTTAAATATATCTATGATCTATTCTTTTTTAAGATGATAAATTTTATTTTTAAATTAGATGATAAATAATATTTTAAAAGACAATTATAAAAATACTTTAAAAGTTCATTATCAAATTTTAATATAAAGGTATTAAATAAATAAAATATTATATTTAAGTTACTGATAAATTTAGTTTAAAACAAGTAAATTTTAATTGGTTTTATAATAACATAAATTTATTGTAATATATGTAATTTATCTTTCATTACATATATTAATAAAAAAAAATTATATGCTCTAATGGTATATAAGTTTTCAAAATTGCTATAATTATTGAAACTTTAAAAAAATATATATATATATTTTTAAATAATTTTTTAATCTTTATGTCAAATATGATAAAAAATAATATTCTAAAATAAAAAATCACTCCTATTTCTAATAATACATATCTATAAGCTCTACATGTATTGGTTTAGTTTTATTTTTTATTTTTTATTTTTAATCTTGTATTATAAAGAACTTCAATTCTTTGGTATTAAATTAAATATCTTTAAGTTTATTTTAGTATTTTTATTTTCATTATATTTTTTAAAAAAAAATTAGAAAAATTAATATAAAATCATATAAAATATTAAATAGAAATTAAAAAAAATTATATAGTGACAAGGTCAATTTGTTAATCAATATTTAAATATTAATTAAATTAAATATTAGTTTTTTAATGTGATATATTTTATAGAAAATTTAGTTGATAGATATATTATTTTTTTAGTTAATTCTTGATTTTAGATATTAAAACAGTAAAAAACTTACAAACATAAAATAAATTATTGCATGGAAGAACACAAATTCTATTATCTATTACATAAATTATACTTTATTTGGTGCATGTAGATCAAAGTTTATTGGAAATATATTTAAATAATTGAATATTAAATTTTTATATTCTAAAAATAAAAATAAGTATAAAAATCATATCTTATTAAATAAGACTATAATGAATTTGATTTGAAATGTTTGAATCAAATAATGTTGAAGCCATAATTTAATGATCCATATTTTGCACTTAAGTAGTTGATAGGACTCTTCAACCATTAATAATATCCTGTATGAAGACAAAAAGACCATCTAGTTATTTGATTATTTTTAAGGTCTTCAATACTACTCTCAAATCACACATTTTATATTCCATTAGATATTATATCCACCTCTAACAATATCACTAATCTTTAGAAGTCTCTTCAAAGATTGTGGTAACAAATAAGTTATATCATGCTATCCATATAAAAAAAGAATATGACTTTCTTAAGGATTTTTATTACTATTATAGCATTATTTAGATTGACCCAATCTAAGTGCTTTATCTAACAATTCTATAAATGACCACTTAAAAAATAAATCTAGTAATGATTGATTCTTTATGTTTGCAAAGAAGTTTTACAAGTTAATCTTTAATTTCTATTCTTTTGTTGTCAATAATTGGTCCTTAATTTTGATGAATGTTGTCAATGAAAAGTAAAAACAAGCTAAAACCTATTTATAAGAGTCTTAGATGGCTCCTATATGCTTTCATTAATATCATATTTGTACTAATATATAAGATATTTTAATTTTTTGAACTTTGTTGTTATGTTGTAGCATGGCTATTGGATAAAAGAGCACATGAAGATAAATAATGTTCATATAGGAAGGCTTTACAAAAAATATAAGTAAATTTTATTATATAAATTATTAAAAAAAACATAGAGACGTAGTAGAAATTTTGGTCTATGCTATTTTATTATTATTATTATTATCAAAGAATATTCTACTTATTTTATTAAATCATAATCTAGAAAAAAATAAATGAATTATAAATAATATTACTACAGGCATCAAATTTTTATGCACACAACAAAGAGAGGATTTTTTGTTTGATTTTAGAACATGATTAGAAATAAAACTTGATAAAATTATATTGAGATTTGATTTTAAATTATTTTAGAAAATAATAACTTTGTGAGGACTTTACAAAACAAAGGTTGTTTTGGATGACTTTGGTTTTTGTGAAATAAAAAGAAATTAATATTTTGAAGATTTATTACAAAGAATTTGTGACAAATATATGGTTTAAAATTTATGGTTTGTAAACATAGTTTTATTAGATGTGAATTTTGAATTTAATTATAATCAAAAAACTATGTCAGGAGTTATTGAGTTTCAAATAAGATAGTGTCTCTAAATTTAAAATTTGAGGATAAATAAGAATTTCTATGATTTTAAACAAATTATTGATTGGATTAAATTGATTTTATTTTTTGCAAGTTAATAGTTCATTTCATTCCAAAGTAAATTTAAAGAGTAATCAAACAATACAAAAAGAAGAAATTG